TCAACAGTTTGTCAAGTAAACAAACACAAACACAACACACCCACACACACACATAAATACAAATACATCTCGGCACTTGCTTCTCGCTCGCTCGCACAGCTAATGTGTGTTTGTTGGCTAGCGGGGCGAAGGTGGAACGCTTTATTAATTTCAATTTGTGTCAACATCAACGCCAAATACGCGCAGCCAGTGAGCCAAACGAAATGATTTAAGCCAGCTGATGACAAAATGTATGCCATTAGGCGAATTAAAGCGCACTTTTTCGCCTGCTCTGGCTCACATCAGTCATATGGCCTGGCCCGCAGCAAGGGCGGCGGCTCTGGGGCGGCTGGCTTTTGCGGCTTTGGCTCGAGCATAGTTCATAAAACTCAACGACTGGCCATTGTTGTCCGTATAGCAGCCATTAAAATCATGATTGATGCGCACGGCTTGACCCAAATGCATGTTTTTATGCCTGCTTAACAGATACGCTTACATTGCGGAATCATCCAGTGTTTGTTAGTGTCAATGTGTGTACGAGTGTGTCTTTCTGTGTGTGTGTGTGTGTGGACAATATGCGGCTGCTTAAATATTAAACAGCATTCAGCAGCAGAGCACGCCTCGGGTTCATTGAACTCAGCCAACTGAGCCAAGAAGCTGCCACATCGCTCGCCCTGTCGCCATGGCAGCGACATTATTTTGCTTATTATCTGACCGTTCTAGCCAGCTTGTCACGGCGCATATACGTAATATTCCATTTAATTTCACTTTATGCCACCACGCCGCTCCATTCCGCACTCGAGCACAGCGTAATCGGTATTAATGAAAAGTGCAATAAAAATAAACACTGTGAACAGCCAGGCGAGCGTAATGGAAAATAACTTGAAAAACTTCAAGTAGATCCTGCATAGATATCAATGGGGCACTCGCTCTGCGACTGCACAACTTGAAAACTTATTCATTTGATGGCTGTGCGAAAATTCGTAAGCCGTTTAAGAGGGATTTTCTCTCGCTGTTTGAGTACTTTATTTTTTTCGGAATAGAACCAAAAAAAAAAAGATACTTAATCTTATGCTACAGTAAGCCAACAAGTGAAAAAGTTTATTCAAATATTTATACTTTAGCCTTAAAATTTAATGTTTACTGTGCTGCTTTTAAAACAGCATATTCCAAAATTATACAGAAAATGAAAACTTATGAGAATTAAATGCTCTATTATGTAATTTAACAAAGAAAAGAATATATACATATATGTACTTGTATATACATATTATTATATTAGTAAAATTTGTATGTTTTTTTCATTTTCAACCTACGGCTCCGAGAACTTGAGTGTTTAGTTACTGCAGACACAGATTTTGGTTCTTAAAGAACTGTTATACAGTCGGTTCAAAAATTTTGTAGCTGCTGCTAACACAGCTTGTCCTTAAAGAACTGTTATGCAGTAGTTCAAGCCCGACCGCAATATATATAACAATTTATATAACAACATTACGTAGAAGTTCTCTATTTATTGAAACTAAATTTTTGGATTGTTATGCAAACAAATTGAAACTGAAGTTGAAAATAAATTCAGTTTTCTTAATAATTTCTAGAGAGCTTTTATGCAATATTATTAGTGGATTACATGACAGACATAATGAATTATGCAAGAATTTCCAAGTACCAACTAAAAGTAAATCAACATCATCATAAGCATCATCATAATAATGTAAATCGAACAGATTTTCAAAGAGAGCTCAGTCTACAAATTCTTTTTGAAGCGGAAGGATGTCTATTTTCGCTTTTTTTTTGTAATAAAATCATGGCAATTTTGTGTTTTTTTATTTATCGAATTCTTAAAATAGCATGAAATTATACGCCCAGACTGCTTCGCATCGACCTTCAATTAATGCGTTAGCTGCTTTTAGCAGCCTTGAAATGTTAACGGCCATAAAGAACGTCTCCAGCTGGGCTACAGAGCTGGCCACATTTCTTCATAGTCAACTGCAAACATTTACCATTTTCATGCCATTTACAATCCTTGTGGACTTGCGGGCTGCAGCTGCTGATTTATAAGCAACAGCAGCAACAACAACAGCAACTGCAATGGCAACAGCAACTGCAACTGCAACTGCAACCACAGCAGTTGGCAGAGCYTGAACGTTTTATTGTTGTAATTGTATTGCAGTAGAATGAAATTAATTTGCCATTGGCTGTGCTCTGTGGCCAGGCATTTATCTAGCTGCTGCGCAGCTGCTAAAATTTGTCAAAGCGAGTTAAACCTCGCAAAGCCGCCGCCCAAAAGCCGCACAAAGCGCACTTTAAGTTACTAGCGAAGGCCAGCCAAAAGGAAGAGCCAACATGCCACAGCAGCAGCAGGAGCAGCAGCAGGAGCAGGAGCAGCAGCAGTGGCGGGCTCAAGTAGCTGCCATTGTTATGGCTGGCACACTTAATAATCAGACATAATAGTTGGGGCCCGAGCCAGACAACGATGCGCAACAGGTGGCTGAACAGAGGACTGAAGGCTGGTGCCAGGTGGGTGGTGGGTGGCGGGTGGTGGCAGGTGTTAGGCGGCAGCTATTGTTGGCATTGCAGCTTGCAACTTGGCCCGTTGGCCCCGTTTGCGAAAGTGGCCTTTAATAAGGTCGTTGTGGTCGTTGCTGTGGCCTTATCGGCTGGCTGTTAAGGCGCTTTGCCTTTAGGCTCAGCCCAAAACTCCTTTGGCTCTAAATTAAATTTCGCACTTTTATTGCTGCCAACAAAAAAGCAATTTCCTTGAGGTGCAAAGCGAAATTGAAAAGGGCATAATGACTTGCTGCCAAACAACACAAAAAAAAAAGATGGAAAAATGAAACGAAAAAAACAACAAATAAAACACACCCACACAACCGAAAGTATCTGGTCATTAATAAAGGCTTACAACGTGCCATTTATTACATTTTTATAACGCCCGCAGCATGGCATAGACGAAGGGAAAAATATAAATAAAGAGCAAAGTAATATTTTGTACTCAAGTTAAAAATATTACTAAAATACAAAATTTACAAATGAGTTTCGGAAAAGCATTTCCACACACAAATTTGAAAGGAAATCATATTAGAAAATACAATAAAAACGTTTATTACTTCTGAGACTTTATTACTGAAATGAAACTGGAAGACAGTCATAAAACATTCAATCTGTGCTCATAATGGAGCCTTTGTGTTTCATTTTAAATAATATTTTATGTTCGCTAAATAACATTGATGTCTGTCAATAATCCCGTCGAATGATATAATCGAAGTGAAAGCAGCTGAAAATCAATTTCTGGAACACATGCGGATATTCACTCTATAGAATTCATTTGTATACATATACATATTTCACAATGTATAAACTCACCGCAAATAGGCAAAATTCCTAGCACAGCGCAAATATTTTGCCAACAGTTGCCGCCAACAAAAAATGTGAATAAAATGCGCAAAAAAACGAGGGCTATAATAAAAGTGCACAAGAGCTGAACCAGAGCGCGTTAAATGGCGAAAGTTTCAAATAACTTTCTTTTCCTTGTTTATTTTTTATTTTTGTGTGATGCTCTAGCTTGTGTACAAAGAAAAATTGTCAAAGTCATGCGAGGGAATTGCGAGGAAACGAGGAAGCGGCCAAAGCACTTTGGGCCACAAAGCCAAAGGCTTTCATAAAATAATCCAGTCATTGTAGCTGAACTTGGCAGAAAACCCGAAAGGATGCTGAAGTTGCCCCCGAGTGTGAAAAGCCTTTACTTATGCTTACTTTAAACAAATATTTTGCTGGCACATTTTTTAAGAACTAATGAAAAACAAAGCAGCAGAGAGCAGCAGGCCTCCATACATCCATACACCTCTCTATTAAATGCGAAATGAGTAAAAATAGCCGCGCTGTCTGGCCGCGTCTGCTCATTTGTCGTTCTCGCTGATTTATACGGCAATTTGCGCAACATGATCAACTGGCGGGCAAGGGGCGACTCGGGCACGCGGTGTGCCAAGAATTTATAAATACAAAGGCAAGGCAAATCAAGCAACCAAAAAGTTGTAGCATAACTTCAGGCGTCGCCAGTCTGCAGGCAGGCAGCAAAAAGCAGACGTCAAGTTGGCTGTCTTGTTGTTGTTCTTGTTGTTGCAAATTTACTTTTGGTGTTTGCGAGAGCCCAATATAGTTGGGCCAGGTAGCAATGACCTTGCTTACAGCTGGTATAAGTCGTGGTAAACAGGATTACATGAAAGGGACCCGACACCATGCGATATTGATATGGGTTCTAATCCTTATATACATATATATCTTAGGCCAGCATATTTCACCTGATTTAAATGGATAGCAAAGTGGATAACAAAGAGCTTTGGGCAATCGTGAAACAACTCAGCTACACTGTCTGATTTTGTGGCACTTCCAGCACTTGGTTGCTGCCTCAATTTCCGGTTCAAAGTACACAGCGAAAACCTAATTATCTCGCCGAGCACCGAACACAATACGCCAGCAATTGAAGGCAACAACTTTTGGTGTTTGCTTTCTATCATTACTACGAGCAATGTGTGTTGTTCATCTATTGTTGTTGTTGTTGCTGTCGTGTCTGGTTGGCTGGTAGAGTAAACTTCCGTTGGCAGTTCCTGCCATTGAGGCGCAGACGCCTACATTGGCACCGACTCGGTACGGCACGGCTCGCCTCGGCTCGCCTCGACTCGCCTCACCTCACTTCACCTTGCCCCGCCTTGCCACGGCTCAGTTAGTGTCTATCATTTTTATGGGTATTTAAAGAGCCATAAACAAAGACGCGTGTGTGGTTTTATGTGACTCTGTGTCCATATATATCTATATATGTATGTGTATATACGTATACATGCATATGTCTGTGTTCTTTGAAATTGCCTTGACATTAAATTGAGTTTTATGTGTGATTTCCGCTCTTAACACTTTGTTGACAATGAATTTTATGGTCGGTTTGTAAAATGTTTTAAAAATAACAGACATATTTACTCAATCTCTCACTCTCTCACCTTCTCTCTCTCTCTCTCTCTCTCTCTCAGACGGAACAATTCGCTGTACTCTGGATACTCTTCACCATCATTGTGCTAGGCAATTCGGCGGTTTTGTTCGTGATGTTCATCAACAAGAATCGCAAATCGCGCATGAACTACTTCATCAAGCAGCTGGCATTGGCAGGTGAGTGCAGAGAGCATATAAGTAATACATAAATAAATCAAATTCGATCCAATTTTTATATATATACAAAGATCTGTGCGTTGGGCTGCTCAATGTGCTGACTGATATTATTTGGCGCATCACCATCTCGTGGCGTGCCGGAAATGTGGCCTGTAAGGTCATCCGCTTCTCGCAGGTGTGCGTCACCTATTCCTCCACTTATGTGCTCGTGGCCATGAGCATTGACAGATACGATGCAATAACACATCCCATGAACTTTTCAAAGTCGTGTAAGTTCTCGATCCCAGAAACTTTTCTAATTGGAAAATCTTTTGGCAGTTGGGCCTAACGCAAAACATGTGTGTGTGTGTGTCTTACCTTTGCAGGGAAACGCGCTCGTCACCTGGTTGCAGGCGCTTGGGTAGTCTCCGCGCTCTTCTCCCTACCCATCCTGGTGCTCTATGAGGAGAAGCTCATACAGGGCCATCCGCAGTGCTGGATCGAGCTGGGCTCGCCAATGGCCTGGCAGATTTATATGTGTCTGGTGTCGGCCACGCTGTTTGCTGTGCCCGCCCTGATAATCTCCGCCTGCTATGCGATTATTGTGAAGACCATATGGGCCAAAGGCTCCATCTTCGTGCCGACAGGTAGGTGGACTAGCAAATCTCTGTGCTGTGCTCCCTCTTGCTCATGCGTTTGCCTTTGGCTAGACCGTGCAGGTTTCGGTGGGGCGGCAACGCGACGCGCCAGCTCCCGGGGCATCATACCACGGGCCAAGGTCAAGACCGTGAAGATGACGCTGACGATTGTGTTTGTGTTCATCATCTGCTGGTCGCCGTACATAATATTCGATCTGCTGCAAGTCTTTGGCCAGATACCGCACTCGCAGACCAACATTGCCATCGCCACATTCATTCAGAGTCTCGCACCGCTCAATTCGGCGGCGAATCCACTTATCTACTGCCTGTTCTCCTCGCAGGTATTCCGCACGCTCAGGTAAGTGGCAGCACGGCCCCAATTATTAGCCTCTATTCAATGCCCCGCCCACTCTTTAGCCGCTTTCCGCCCTTCAAGTGGCTGACCTGCTGCTGCAAATCGTATCGCAACAACTCGCAGCAGAACCGCTGCCACACGGTGGGCCGTCGCCTGCACAACAGCTGTGATTCCATGCGCACCCTGACCACATCTCTGACGGTCTCCAGACGCTCCACCAACAAGGCGAACGCCCGGGTCATCATCTGCGAGCGGCCCAACAAGGTAATCACTGTGGCTGCCATGTCGGAGGTATGATAGCTGGCGCACTCGACCCGCAGGCGTTCAACGCTTGCGGTCCGTGGGCCGACGTCCTTCAGCGATGCGGAGTTCCTTTAAGTGAGGTGTACGGCCGCACCGCCCCGCCCCGCCCCCCAATTAGCAGGCTCTACGAGGCTTAGACAATAAGTGCGATAGTTGTGTATGCATAGCGCGAGCCCAAATCGAATATCGAATACGCAGACACATGTACATATATATACACAAATATATATATATAAGTAGATGTATGTCTATGTGTGCTACGAATTCAGTGCGTGTATTTCCCATTGCAATTTATCTATTAAGTATTTATGCAGCTAGCTCGTAACCATTACCGTACCGTAATTTTAAACTCTATTTTAACTGAATTAAGGTTTGTGGCATCACAAAGCGCTTGGGCGTGTTTTTTTTTTATAATTTATATGAAAAGCTCTCTCGTTTTCGCCCAAGGACAAGTGATGTTATTTTATTGTAGAGCAAGTAAATAAAACACTCCTACTCGTATTCTATTTATCAGACTGATGTTATTTATTTACACGAAATTAAGTAATTGCATTTCTTTTCTGTCCAACTAGCCGTTAAGCCAATTAAGTATTTACATATATACAAATACATATTACTATACTCTATATTTATATACATATATATACTCGCTATCTAATTGTCTCTCTATGTACCAATCTTGAATCTGTAAATATACTTAAATATTCTATAGAACTAAGCGTGCACCACTTGTCCAAGCATTGAAAACCAAAATCTTTAGACACTTAACAGAAACTTAAGAATTAATAGAGCATAACGTTTTAGTCAATTTGGTATAATACTTATTTCATAATTATGTGTATCAACTGGCAGAGCATAAAGAATAAAGGCCAATATATGTACAATAAAAGAATACAAAACGAAATTGAGAAATCTGCGGGCTCGCATTTTAATTCATTTTGGCATGCGCCACAAATTTCATTCTTAGGTCTCCATGCAACAGAGCACAATGGGTCCAAGGACGACGCGACAAGGACCAATGGCAGAGCAAAGAGAACTGGCTGGGACAGTTGGGACAGCTGAGGACATGACGGGACAGCTCTCATTCTCACTCTCCCTCTCACCCTGCCTCTCTTTGTTCATTTATAATTGTGGTAATGTGGGCAGCTCTTGACGTCAATGGCCAAACGTCAACGTGAACCCAATAAATTAGCCGTACGCCTGCATCGAATATGAAAACATATTTTATTCTGCTCCGATTGCGTAAATGGCACTAACTTTATTTCACTTTGTGTATATAAATAGCTGCAATGACATAATCGTGACCATCGAAACTAACTAATTAATGCCGTTAATATAGCCAGTTGCCAAATTACGAGCATCAAGTGCAGTCCGCTTTCATTTTCCAATACGCTTCATTGGGAACGCGGCTAGGCGTAAACAGTTTGCAATCAGGCTTTCATAATTTACTTACCAACTTTTAATTGAAATACCATTAGAGCGACAGTCCGCTGGAGGAAAGCAAGGCGAAGAGAAATAAGCGGTACAGCAAAAGAAATAAAACTTTACAATTTAACAAACTGCATTAATTATATGTGTGTAGGAAATATATAGATAGCTTGTATTAACTGTCATAGATCAGAGTATAATAATGAGACATTTCTAGAAATAGGATATTGTCGTAAATGTTGATTATATCTAATATATTTAGAAGCAAAAATAATTAATAATTAATCTGTCTCTCTGTCTACAGAAGATCATTGTGCATATGTACACAGCAGTGGTATTGGTATTTATGTTTGAATAAAACTAAGCTGTGTATGCTTGCAGCAGCAGAGACTGCTCCCATTGGTCACTCAAATCTCAACTGAAACGATGTCTACCTGTTATCAACATTTGAGCGCAATTTAGAGTGAAAGTCTCTCTATATAAAGGACAGCTGCTGCAGCACATCTTCAGTCGCCTGGTGAGGGTCAGTCGTGCAGTTCAGTGAATTGAAGTGAAGCGAAGTGAAGCTAAGCATTAAAGGCTTGGAGGGAATACTTATTCTTGGAGGAAATACTTAGAGAAAATACTTRGAAGCAATACTTAAAGGAAATACTTGGATGGAATACTTTGAAGAAATTCTTGGAGAGAAGACTTAGAAAATAAACTTAAGTTCTTGGAGGAAATACTAAGAAGAATATACCATGATAATAACATTAATATGTGTGCATTTACTTAAACATAAGTTTCTAGTACTTAAAATACACTTCTTGCAGGAGTTAGGAGTTAAGAGAAAATGGGTAGATTCTCACATAAATCGAAAATCTTTAAAATTAACATGAATTTTTATTTAAAATTTGGACAATCTAATGTCGAGATATAATTTTATTAGTGATATTTGATTGGTTTTAGTTGATGACATAAAAACGACGATGGTTATTGATTTTTGAAAACAAACTAGATCTGCGCGTGATATACACGGACCTAAGAAACGAAGTTCAAGTCTGAAGGATCAACGATAATCGACTCAATTCGACACCCTGATCAATAATGTATATATATTGGATCTGTCACGGCTCTTTCTGCGTCTTACATACATTTAACATTTACCAACTTTATTGAGTGATTGAGAATCGCAAGGTTAAGAGCTGCTAGTTTTCGGTAGGAATAATCATTTCGGTAATCTTAAGCCATTCGCTTTCCAGACGAATGCCCCTAATTTCCGAAATGCCCCAGACATGACATGACACATTTTGGCTTTTCCTTCAAAATCATCGAACTCTAACACATAAAAACAATTTCGAAATTATACAAACAGTGTTGTTGAATCCATCCGTTCGCACTCTTACGTCGCTTGTGTAATAGTCAAAATCACAGTAAAGTACCATATTTTTAGAACCCGTCCCATAAATTTATGTGCAGCTCGTGCTTTCCCCTCGAGAGCCATGTTCCCCAACTATTGCTTTGCCAAGGTGCCCAACGACTATGGCTACGATCTGCTGTACATGCCAAAGAACGCCTACAATGGCAATCGCCAGCGTGTCGACACGCGTCCGTTGCGGCATCGCGGCAAGGTCACGGACGATGGGTTCCTTGCGCAGCAGACTCTGCAGGACAGGCACAATGAGAGGCTGCACAGGCTACACGCCCTGAAGCCTCAGCCACGATCAGCCGGTCGTAGCGTGGAATTTCGGCTGCCTCCCATGGATCAGCAGCTGCCCAGAGACAGGGCGCATGCCGGGAGCATTGAAATAGATGATCGAGAGCACGGTAAAAAGCTGCAGCAGGGCCCTGCTCAGCCGCAGGGTGCTCCCGCTAGGAACTTGCCCGATCTGAGTCGAGGTCCGTCCGAGACATGCTCCGACTTCTTCAACATCCTCTACGATAATGTGCTTAATGCGGTGCACTCCGCCGTCGAGCATATGGTGACCAAGCACTTTGCTCACATCGTTACCAGAATGGACCAGATTGCCTCAGATCTAACGCAGCAAGAGACGCTAATGAAGCAGCACAACAGCGATGTAATGGGGAGTAAGTGAGCGTGAGTTTAGTAGAGCACTAGAAATTGATGTTCATTCACCGAGCCCCCAGAAATTGTTGAGCAGAATGAGTCAAGCCTCAACCAGTTCAAGTTTGTTGCCCAGATGCTCATCGACAATCAGACGTTGTTCTATCGCGCGCTCAACAACCAGCGCCAGTCGAAGAGAAAACCATGCACAGATGACCTGACGGAGGAGAGCAAATGTTACAGTGTGGACTGTGCTCAGCGCCTGTTGGACGAGTACGATCAGAGGGAGGAGTCCGACACAGCTGTGCAAAGGCCGAAGGCAAGTCCTTCGCAACATAGACCACAGCATCAGCTATGGGAACAACAAGACTTACGACCTCTATTCCAGCAGTCCACATGCAAGAATTGCAGCCACAAGTCCTCGAGGTCTGGCAACTCCAGCTGCTCGAGACCAATCGCTGTGCAGCGCACGGTCAAGGGTATTTCGACCACGAGCATGCCCGACTTGCGTCGCTCGCCGCTATTCCCCTCGTCCAGGACTCTCAGCTGCAAGAGCAGCAAGCATTCCAGCCAGCGCTTAGCCACGCCCACTATGTGGACGCCGTTGGGCACTGGGTCACGTGGCAGTCAGGCGTCGCCGTCGAGCGCAACTGGATCGAGTCGCAAGTGCCGCTGCCAGGTCAATCCATCCGCGCCAGCCCCGCAGGCCATCAGCTCAGTTGGCTCGAGACGAAAGCTACGTAGCTACGGCAAATCACTGCCAAGTCTGGATGATGAAAGATCCCACAAATAATCAATCCTTAATCTTTGATTTGGGCCTGAGCGCCAACCCGCGATAGCTGCCAACTGTGTTTCATGGCATTTTAAGCTCCCATGCACACAGTTGACAGCCATACTTGGTTGGCACAGTGCCTAGATTATGTACACCAAATTCTACAGATTTTACAAATTTAATGTAGTTAAAGTTTTTACAATATTTAAGTAGATTATTAAAGAACAAGTAGTTCAGACTGCTCGACTAGCAGATACCCTGAACCCAGCCAAAAACAGATTCCCATTGCTCCAATTAATAGGAAATACATGACTATCCTTAATCGCTGTTATGGGTTTCGAGAATAGTGCGTAGAAAAAGTAAATTCAGATGGATTGACGTAACGACACAACTCAGCTGAAATCTCACTTTCACTGGGTTCAAGGTATAAGAACAAATATTTGAATACATGAACAAATAATTCATACATAATAACAATGAGGTAAATTTGGATATTAAATAATTTGCAATAGCTCGTTAGCCAGACCTCGATTAGCTTCTAAGTTGCAGAAATATATGTATTACATATAAAGCCAAATTTGTTATAAATCCAACTTTGGGCTAAAATCCATTAAAGTTTGATCTACACATCGCCTATAGACTTAAGGAAACCTTAATCCGAGCTCTCAACAATAGTTGCTCTACTCTTAAGTTGTACAGACTCATACTGGCTTTTCTTGAGCAGATGGCGCTGCACAAATGGAGCCAGGAGTAGAGGATCCACAGAGCTAACATCCTGACGTCCGAAATATAAGAAAGTAGCCAAGTTTGAGATAATGATATTCAGTAATGCCCCAGTCATGGTGTACAGCAGGAATGATATATGGTATACGGATGAGCCGCTGTGTGGTTCACTGCAATAAAATATTCAATATAACATATAAAATAT